CAAAAGTAATCCGTCCGACGGGGGACACATCAAAGGGAAAACAAAATTGTTATTTTTATTTGATTCGGAGTATTTTCATATTTATCTACCTTTTAAACCTTCTCTGGACTTCCACAAACAATTCAAGACCAAAATTAGCCAAATCGGTTCAGCCGTTCTCGAGTTTTAGCGAGACTAACAACAGAAATTCATTTTTATATAATATATAGATAGAAGATAGATTTGTGAACTAATAATGAATTAAAAAAATACCAGTAGTAATGGCCCTAGGAAACCTGCGTTGAATAACAACCGGGAGACCACACCATATAAGCTAATATGACCACGGAATGTAACTCCCAATTTACAATCAAACAAGCAATCATAGTAGTTAAGACAAACTATTATGTATGTAGATTTGTTGCTGAACAAGTGAAAGTCCAACTTAACGAAACATCCCAAGGATCCAAGTTTCGCCTCCCAAAATTAGTTTCAACAGAATCCGAGGACAAAGTCACAAGCCATTAAACGTCGAAGGCCTTCACGGAGCCAATTACAAATTCAGTCGAACTTCATTAGCTAAAAGGACTCAAGCTATATCTTCACTTCAAAAACAGATTAATTTATGGTAGGTACTCATCTCTAGAACTCATCTTTTGTATTCGATTCCTTTGAGTTGGAAATTTGGGATGCTTTAATATTTAGTTATTAAAGAGATTTAGGCGAATTTCTTTGCCTCGGAATACGAAAATCCATCTAAAACGCTGTACAAAAAGAATTTTACACTTTCATAATTACTTGCTATCATCAATCTATCTAATATTATAAATAAAGTGCTCACTATAGATTTATTTGATATTAATTTTTTTCAATTAACAATATAGTCATTAATAGTTTAAATAATTCTGTCGGAGCCTATATATGTCGGTGGCTATAAAGCATTCCTGGAAAATTACTAAAATATCTAAGGATTTCGAATCACGCATTTCCGACAACTGTTTTGTAGAATCTTTACATGAGGAACGTTCTAAATCATTTGATATCTGATAGACTAAATACCTTTTAATTCAAACTTATCTATAGCAACACGTTTTTCGAATCCAATGGCTAAAAAATTGGCCGTTTCTTAAAATAGTCATTGGAATTTGATCTTTTTGAAAATCAGCTCTAAGAGCAAAAAACTCAATCCTATCACGCTTTTCCAACTTTATATCGGCTTGTATACAAAGGAAGGCCTTTCAATTTTAGACAACAAAATGTTTCATACACATTTTTAAAATAGTGAACTATTGATTTTTTCAATTAAGACTTCTAAATAAATAGCAATTAAATAATTCTCTATTGTACTATTATGAAACTTGTTTTTAAGCTATTAAGCTTATGAAATCTATAGATCTCAGTTATTTTATCTTAATTAAAATTATTTTTACAATCTGACATTAATTGTGGGGTGACATAGCAGCCACTTGCAGCACACTTATTATACTTAGATCACATTTCTATTACCAGTTCTATCAGTAATTAAATACCATCCGAATCTTGTTTCAATTAATCATAGAGCTGCGCCTAAATCAACTTAGCATGGATATCTAATTTCATTTCAATTAATGTATTATACTGATGCCCCTAGAAAATTATTTACAGAAATATGATGTTATGCCAGTGTTGGCTTAATAAGATGAACAATATTACATAGATAGATTGAAATATGTCAAGAGCAAATTCTAATTATAGTATTAATATACATATTTTTTCATACCAAACAACTAATTGCCATCAACTATTATGTTTTAGGACGACAATATATTTCTAAAGAGACTAAGTGTTTATAAACACAAAACTGCTTCGGGACAGAAATAGGCAGAATAGTCGCATCGCTTAATACAAATATACTGGAAGTCTTAACATTGTTTTACTTTAAAACGACGACAATTACAATCAACTTTACGAAATAAATATATAGAAATACTACGATACTCTGGACAAGAGACAAGCCGTGAGCAATGAGACAATCGTGAATATCGGTTGCAAAGCTCCACTGGGCTGCGTGTCATTGATGCGTTTTTTTTTAAAACTGAATTCAAGGACTGAAGAACTTTCATATCTATAAGAACCACTTTTTTCTAAAACCATCGTCAAAACACTTAGAATAGAGTATTCTCTACTATCACGAAAAGAAACATTAAGCTTATTTATCTATATCTATATCTATACTAATATTATAAAGAGGAAAGATTTGTTTGTTTGTTTGTTTCGAATAGGCTCCGAAACTACTGGACCGATTTGAAAAATTCTTTTTCCATTAGAAGCCGACATTGTCCCTGATGAACATAGGCTACTTTTTTATTTTTTTTTTTATTCTATTTTTTTGGTTTCATGTGTGTTTTAATGTTTCCGAAGCGAAGTGAGGGCGGGTCGCTAGTAATATATAATTCGAACACTAAAATACAATGGACTGATTTTATTACTGATTAAATCTTTACGTTGTCATTGATATCGTACCTATTGTATTGTGGGGATCGGTTTTAGTCTGGCTTGTGTACGTGTCTAAGACAGAAGAAAATCCTCTATTTGAGGTCGTTAAATTTGAAAAGTTTATTTAACGCGACCACTACAAACAGCATTTCATATTCAAACGCTTTACTTACGCTTTTTTTTCTTTCGTAAATTAACCTAAAATTTCGTGTTTCGAACAAAACAAAAGCATTCTAAGGAATAAGTAATTTGTCACCAATGATTCTGTACCTGCAGGGTATTATTGGTTGTATCCACTTACTATAATGGAGTTAATCGCCGTTGCTCTAATGGCTATTGGATCCGCGCTGCGGGCGACTTCCATTCGCTAATTGCTTAGTATAACCAATGTTATAATGCTTTTTTACTGATAGTACATTGTATATGTTTTGGATTTTCAAGAGTCGTAAAAATTATTAAAATGCAATTGAAATATCGTCTAATTACATTTCACGGTCACTGACTTTACATTACTTTATTTTATTTTAAAACTTTTATTTTAAAAACACAAAATCGAGATTAAGCAATAATAAAGAGTAGGAATCATTAATCGTAGGAATGCACTTACTTTGCAGTTTGAAGGCAATTCTGCTATTTCCACGTGACAAAAGAATACGGTATTGTTTGAAATAAGTTTACCGCCAAAACGCCAATAGCATTAAACAAACAGTTCTAGAATTTTTAAGATTAACTAGCAAAAGCTTATAACACAAACAGCCTATTTATTATTTGTAGTCAATCACTACACACACCAGGTGGGCAGTGAGTTCGTCCATTAATTTAAACAATAAAAATAAAAACTAGCCATGAAAAAGGGCACTATGCATCCCTAAATACCATTAATATTTTTTATATTTTTATACGGTTTTCTAATTACCTACGTTATCTTACAAAAACTTAACTCTTTCTCTGGTATGGTAAACGTCTCATGATTACACATTTCATTAAAAACGAAACTAAAAAAAATCACAGTTTTACTACAACGAAGCAAATAACCATAAATTATTGCCCTAAATTGAAACAGTGCTTATCAACTTTAATTAAATATATCAACTGCTGTCAATCTCGAAACCAATAGCATTTCTAATGTCATCACAAGATGTCGGGAGAATTTAATTAATTCCTAGTATCCCGTACCAAGAACAGTATCAATTCAATTATCACGTAGCACAGTATGTCCCATAACTGTGCCTTTTTGTGATTTATTTATGACGGATAGCTTGGTTCCATGGTGTTTTAAAATGATGACGTCAGCGTTGATCACGTCATTCTCTTCGTCATTATCATTGCCTTCCATAGTAACAGATATTAAGAGTCACTTTTCCAATGAATCAATTTATTCGTGTAGTTGAGCTCACGGGGCTCAAACCGGAGTGGTGCTAACACTGGCCCTAACAAGAGCAGTGCTTCGCAGAATCTACCACCGGATCGGAAACGCGACCCACTGAGAAGATCCGGCGAGAAACTCAGTGGGCTGTGTCTGTGGGTTAATTCGCTAGTCGAGCCCTTCGTCGCAAGCGACGGGTTCTGCGAGGACGGTGACCAGTGCTTGTGGTACCTAAAAGCATCGTTAATGGATCGGGAGGATACGTAATGACGTATTTTGGGCGACGTCGACTGTTTACCATTAGATTTCAAAAATTTGTTGCCTTACTTACAAAACTGCACTGGCGCTTGGGGTCGCTGGCCTTTAGCGCGGCAATTTTATTGGTCAATGCAACACTCACAAAAACTATGATTTATAAAAATAAAACTATTATAATTCGAATTTAGAACGATCAAAAATGAAAAATCATTGAGTGACGTTTAAGAGTCTGTCATCGTTAGCAAAAAAAATCACAAAATTAAATACAATTTTATATTTCATTTATAATTTAATACCATAAATAATGAACAGTAAATTGAAGTAAGGTGAGTTGTGTCTTTCTAATTTACAATCTGAAACCGAACAATACTAATATCTTCTGCAGTCGTACAATCTAAATCTTATATCTCTGGATTCCCTTCAAAACGTATAAATTTGTCGCGATTACGACCCGGTAGTAGATTCCCTCGTGAAGCAACTGCTCTTGAGTAGTTAGGTTTTCTTTGGAGGCGCTTGGGTAGCTGTTAGCAAATCCCACCACTCCTGGTTGAGCATTTGCTCGCCCACCTATCCTGGTGAAACTGGAAAGGGCTCCGGGCCACCAGTGATTCCTCTTCATAAAAATGAAAAGAACAATATAAATACCAGGTGTAATCCGGGTATATTTTTAAGAAAGTAAACCCAATTAAACGGATCCATTCAAATACATGTTTTCAATTTAATTTTCTAAATATGTACTGCAGAAAAGACCCATAAAAAATTCGACAACTCTTATACAGCTCAATTGGCATTGAATTTCTCATAATATTATTGACCACTAGGCGCGCGGAACGCTCAACATCTTTCGAAAGTATAAATAAATAATAAGAAAGCATGAAAGTCACATCAAAACTTTGTTATAGATATAAGTTTCGCTGCTGAGATGATTGAAGCAAGCAGCGTCGATAATGCAACGGCTCCTCTACCCATTAATCATGTAAGTCGATTCAGCTCTAATATTTAACGGTAATGAACAACCTTAACATTAGTTGTTTTATTATCATCAACAGTTCCCTTTCTGTTTGGTTCGAGACTAATATCTAGTTTTCGCATCACATAGTACTTATATTATTAGGTACACATCCAAAAATATAATTTCATTAAATAATAACGGAATAGACCAGTGGATTTTTTGTTAAGTCTGTCCAGCTGGGGGTTGGTGCTTCCCACTTCCGTAGGTTTAACCCGCGTTTCCCTACAAGTGACCCCTGGGTGGTGCTAAACGGGAGCCAAGAACAAAACCGGTGGTAGGACGTAGTCCGACTGGCTGGTGACCACCCTCCAACCAGAGTCCGCCGCCAAATAGCCTAGCTGTGTTCCGGCGTGTGGGTTGGAGAGCCAGTTCTAAACGGTAGGCAGTGGCTTGACTCTGCCCCTGGCATTGCTGACGTGCATGAGTGACGGTAACCACTCACCATCAGGTAGGCCGTATGCTCGTCTGCCTATACGGCAATTTTTTTTTTTAATCATAGCTCTTATAATAATGTAGTTTGTTTGCCTACCTCATCATTATCATTAAGAGCCTATTTTATTTCGCTATTGGACATAGACGTCTCCCAAGACACGTCACACGACCCGATCCGACTTACCTACCTTACCTACCTTGCCTCTATTTGAATACCTACCGGTAGTACAATGCCTTCTGAGCCAACACTATTTATTATCGCTGTTCTCGGTATTTTATAGCGCAGAAATCGTGTGTTCGGGTTTTTAAGGTTAAGTAGTCAATATTCTGACGCAATAGAAACTTAGACCTCATAATTCAAAGCGGAGTGTGGCTTTAATCTTGAACTGGTCCTAGCAGTGTTATGTATTATTATTATTTTTGGATAAATGATTATTGTATACCGTTATTTCATCATGAAGTCGTTCATGGACACTTGCTAGGTACGTATTTGCTTAGAAATATTTTGTCAAGCCAGAGAATTTGAACCTCCAAAAAACTAGATACCAGTACACTGAGCCTTATTTATTAGACATTGGAAGCTTCTTCTGTTTGTACCAATAGTGTAGTGGGACACTATTGGTACTGGACAGGACATGCCACTTAAATTTTATATGTAGCTTATTAACACAATCATTCAAATAAATTACAAATCAGCAAGCAAAAGCACAGAGTTATATTAGTTAAATCGAGAGTACCTAGTTTTGTGTGCTTAGCCTTAGACTGTTAGCGCCTAGGCTATATTTTTTTGTAATATAAAAAATCCAATCTGAAAACTACTCATTCGTACATACAGTACATCTACAATAATACCTCACACACAGCCCACTGAGTTTCTCGCCGGATCTTCTCAGTGGGTCGCGTTTCCGATCCGGTGGTAGATTCTACGAAGCACGACTCTTGCTAGGGTTCGTGTTAGCAACGTCATCAGGTTTGAGCCCCGTGAGCTCACCTACTAGTTAAGGCGACGCTGATATAGCCTCTCAAGGCTTAGGTAGAAAAAAAATCTACAATAACAGAACCATTTAGGTAGTTTTAAAATGTATAATTGTATATATTCAACCTAATAACTACATAATAATGTCATGAAGAAATATAAACTTTTAATTTATAAATTGACAGGATTTCACACCGCAAGACGAAGATATGGCCCGTTCGGAGGCCACTTTCCGTTTTATAGTTCAAAATGTCAGCGAGTTGAAAGAGCAAGTGCTATCCCCGGCGTGTTACGTGCGCTGTCTGCCTTGGAAGATCTTGGTTCTCGTACGCAATACAACGAGAAACGATCACCAACCACACAAAGCTTTAGGCGTATTCCTACAGTGCAACGGCGAATGCAGTTCGCCTGGGTGGTCTTGTTATGGATTGGGCGAACTAAAACTCCTATCCTATAAGCCTGAGGGTACGCACTTATGCAGGAAAATTCATCACATGTACCATTGGTATGTTTAATTCGTGAAAACATTTTTTTTATTGCTTAGATGGGTGGACGAGCTCACAGCCCACCTGGTGTTAAGTGGTTACTGGAGCCCATAGACATCTACAACGTGAAATGCACCACCCACATTGAGATATAAGTTCTAAGGTCTCAGTATAGTTACAACGGCTGCCCAACCCTTCAAGCCGAAACACATTACTGTTTCACGGCAGAAATAGGCAAGGCGGTGGTATCTACCCGTGCGGACTCACAAGAGGTCCTACCACCAGTGAAAATTAAATATTGTAATTATTGAGGAAACAATATGACAACACAGTGAACATTTGTTAAGTACATTTTTCATTAGAAAAATTGGTACCCGCCTACGGGATTCGAACACCGTTGCATAGCTAGATTAGATCGCACCGGACGTCTTATCCTTTAGGACACGACGACTTCAGACACATGTGCTTAAATAGAACCTATTAAGTGACTTCTTTACAATTCCTTCTCTTACCCGCAGCAAAGAAGACGATTGGGGTTTTGCCCATTTTATATCATGGGATGATTTGATGAATCCCGATAACGGTTTTGTTAAGAATGATTCTATTACATTGGAGGCTCATGTTATAGCTGAAGCACCCCACGGAGTATCTTGGGATTCTAAAAAGCACACTGGCTACGTTGGTAAGGTGATACACATTTTTGCTTCTATTTAATGAAGTTTTCTTGTCTCGAAACCAGCCTCATACGGTTCCGTGGATAACGGCTGGTCACTGTAGGTCAGAGACTTCAACAATATCCTGAACACAGCCGCATCACTACCTACCGTGATCTTCAAATGAAGCCGAACCCTACCCAATTCGATTGAAATTATACGGGCAGTAAAATGCATCTAAAGAATTGAAACTAAAATGAACATCAAGTCTGATTGTATTTCAATAATCCAACACGTAATGCAAAACATTGTAAATTTTTTTTATTGCTTATATGGGTAGACGAGCTCACAGCCCACCTGGTATTAAGTAGTTACCGGAGCCCATAGACATCTACAACGTAAATGCGCCACCCATCTTGAGATATAAGTTCTAAGGTCTCAGTATAGTTACAACGGCTGCCCAACCCTTCAAGCCGAAACACATTACTGTTTCACGGCAGAAATAGGCAAGGCGGTGGTATCTACCCGTGCGGACTCACAAGAGGTCCTACCACCAGTGAAAATTAAATATTGTAATTATTGAGGAAACAATATATATTTATTTACATAGTTTAAAAAGTGAAGGAAGATTCTAGATGAGGTTAGTGACTTAGATGTTACAGCACTTTTCACTGCCGCATTCTTTCCAGGCCTTAAAAATCAAGGAGCCACATGTTACATGAATTCCCTTTTGCAAACTCTCTTCTTCACGAACGTATTACGTAAGGCGGTGTACAAGATCCCGACAGTCGGCGACGACAGTTCCCGGTCGGTCGCTTTCGCCCTACAAAGAGTGTTCTACGACTTGCAATTCTCTGAAAAGCCGGTCGCTACCAAGAAATTAACGAAGAGCTTCGGCTGGGAAACTTTGGACTCTTTTATGCAACACGACGTGCAAGAATTTCTTAGGGTGAGCTAGTTAGTTGTTTCGATTAAAACGTAAACATTTTCGCTTCAGTGGTTACTGGAGCCCATAGACATCTACGACGTAAATGCGCCACCCACCTTGAGATGTAAGTTCTAAGGTCCTCAAGTATAGTTACAACGGCTGCCTCACCCTTCAAACCAATTTAATACAATTTTGTTAGCTTACTATGTATATGTGTGTATAAAAATGTATATATTAAACAACCGTAGGCAGCGGCTTGCTCTGTCCCTGTCATTGCTGAAGTCCATGGGCGACGGTAACCATACACCATCAGGTGGGCCGTATGCTCGTCTGCTTACAATGGGCAATAAAAATAAAAAAGTACTTACGTATGTAATACGTAACGTATATTACGTAACGTAATGTATATTACGTAACGAAATACTTGAATGAAGTCAATGAAAAGCATCGCTGACTTCAACGCGTCCGATGCATCAAAGACCGATGATAATACAATAAGATTATAACTAATACCAGCAGGATAAAATTAATCAAATTACTTAATAATTCGTTTTACTATCGAAGTCTGGTTTTTTAGTTTTTAAACTACATTTTCTATTCGACTGACCCGGTGGTGCAGTAGTTAGTGCCCTGACTCGTGGGTTCGATTCCCACATTGGGCAAACATTGCGTGACGAACAGGTTTGTTTGCTTTTTATCTGGGTGTTTATTATCGATATATATTTAAATGTATATAAGTATGTTTGTCAGTCTCTGATACCCATAACATTGAGAATCCTAAATTGGGGCCAAATGACCATGCGTGATTTGTTCCCAATTATTATTATTATTATTATCATTGTACTACTTGAACGTCAGCACGAGTATTCTTGTTAATCGCGTTCCTCCAGTCGAGTTCTCAGTTCTAATGTTAATTCCAGGTGCTCCTAGACAAGCTCGAGAACAAAATGAAAGGGACGCTCGTGGAGGGAACCGTGCCAAAACTGTTTGAAGGAAAAATGACCTCTTTTATCAAGTGCAAGAATGTTAACTGCACGAGCACTCGGGTGGAAACATTCTACGACATCCAGCTCAGTGTCAAGGGAAAGAATAATAGTTGGTTAATTAAATTGTTCCGCAGCTCGATTTAAACTTTGTATTTGGTTTACTTGAGGAAACTTTGAGGAGGTTTTCGAATTCTTGGTTTTCTCTTCTGCATTAAAACAAAGTATTTGCGGCCCTTTTTGAAGTGAAACTTCTTTAGGCGTCTTGAGAGTAAAATTTAACTCGCGACAGATTCGTTACGGCTAGAGAGAAAATATATAATTTAGGACGAGCGAGAGTGAGAAAATTTACAGAGCGTCTCGCGAACCATTGATATGTGGTACCGGAGCTCAAAAATATTAACGTAAATGCCGCCACCCATCTTGAGACATGAGGTCTAAGTCTCATTTCTTTAGTAAAACGCCCGCTCCACCTTTCAAACCGGAATGCAATACTCCTTCGAGTACAACACCCATCCTACCCTTGAAACTGGAAAGCCAATACTGCTTCGCCGCAGAATTAGGCAGGGTGATGGTACCTACTCGTGTGGGCTCACAAGACGGCCAGTAATTACGCAAATTAGAATTTTTACGAGTTCATTTATTATTACATGATGTTATTCCTCATCGTGGAAGTCATTCGTGAATATAAGTTAAGTATGTAGGTATTTTATTTAAAAAATTGGTTAAAAAAATTACGGGATTTGAACACCGGCACAGTCGCATCGTTCAATACGAGTATCGAGCTTTATCTTTTATCTTTTAAGCCACGATGATTTCTTATATACATTTTTTTTATTGCTTAGATGGGTGGACGAGCTCACAGCCTACCCGGTGTTAAGTGGTTACTGGAGCCCATAGACATCTACAGCCTAAATGCGACACCCACCTTGAGATTTAAGTTCTAAGGTCTCAGTATAGTTACAACGGCTACCCCACCCTTCAAACCGAAACGCATTACTGCTTCACGGCAGAAATAGGCAGGGTGGTGGTACCTACCCACGCGGACGCACAAGAGGTCCTACCACCATTAAAAATTATTTCATATAAGTATTGCTATTTTTAAATATTTACGAATAATCTTTTTTTGTTGTTTGTATAGTCTACGAGTCATTCAAAGACTATATTAGCACGGAGCTACTCGACGGCGATAACAAATACGATGCCGGAGAGCACGGCCTACAGGAAGCCGAGAAAGGCGTGAGGTTTGACGTGTTCCCGCCCGTGCTGCACTTGCACCTATTGAGGTTCCAGTACGACCCGCAGCGAGATGCTTCAGTTAAATTTAACGATCGGTAAGTGGATATCTACCAAGAAATTGTCGAAAATTCTCTTATTAGATTCTGTGTTTTCTAACTTAAAAATAGGTTATAAGTAATTATCTAATGGAATTTTACGGCAGCGCCATTGAGATGATTGGCCGTTTTGTTGTAATTAAAAATGATGGTAGGTATAGCCGTTTTCGAGGTTAGAGACTCTTTCGAATACGATAGTTGTAATAGTGTTTTAATATTGCATAGTACTTTTTATTTTTTATTTTCGTGAATCTTGAACATGATTAAAACTACTTTTACGGCTTTTACTCTTACTTACTTACTTTTTTCGTTATTATAATCCCGACGTTTCGACTACTCACTTTATAGTTTATGTGGTCACGGACGATAGCGTAAATTACACCGTAAAAGCAGTTTATTATGTTTAAGACTACCTAAAATAAAAAATATAAAAAACTACTAAATATTAAAGCACTATTACATTCACTATTCACTATGCACAAATTCGAAAAACTATAATTTCAAAATATTGCCAAAACCTTAGGTAATGCCTTTGATTTTCGGTTTTGGATTATACGGAATCTCTAATCACTGATTTAACACAATTTTACACTAGACTAGAATCGTATTTTCTGATATTTTCGTCATCTTTTATTTGCGCCAAAGTCTTTGTGAAAAAAAAAGATGTGTGGTGTCGTGGGACACCGGATAGGAACGAAGTTCCTTACTATAAAAATATTAATTTTAAGTTCTATTCGAGGTATAAAGAAAATAATTATTCGCGTATACATTTTGTATTATGATTTTTTATTGATAAAAATTAAAAAAACTACAAAGTTATCAACTTTATTTCATTCATAATGATTTATGAAAAATTTATAATAATAAAATATACAAAGAAACAGTGATTTATATGAATAATAATAATAACCGTCATCACGTAGATTATACATTAAACACTGTATAGCCATCATACTAAGACTATACGTAAATAATAAAAATCTTACATTACGGACGTTTTTTCCCGGTTAGGGTACCCCTCCGCATCGACGCATAAGGAAGTTCGTTCCAAAATCAATATTCTAGAATATTCTGTGGATAATATGAAAATTCGTAATTCAAAACATAGGTTCGAATTCTACGAAGAGATAAACTTGGATCCGTATTTACAAGAGGTACCGTCCACTCCCTCGCATTACACGCTTCACGCTGTGCTCGTTCACTCGGGCGACAACCACGGAGGGCACTACGTCGTCTTTATCAACCCTAAGGGCGACGGAAAGGTCAGTTAACTTCCGAAATAGAGTTTGCGTATTTGAAAATTTTCGCTCGAGAAGAGTCAAGATTTTTGAATTTTGTTTGAATTTTTTTTTGAATCGATTTCGTTTTTCTATTAACTAGCGGTCCCGCAGTAGTCGAAATTCGACTATAATTAATTGAGACTAGTGGTCGCCCGGTAGTCGAAATTCAACTATAATTAATTAAAATTATAAGTTCGTACACTATTATGATTCTATTTTCAAAGACTATTATACTTCTATAATCACAAATTTCACCAAGACTACACTATAAAAAAATATTAATATAGACGAACAATATTTAACCTATTCTCAATTTGACCACAGACGTCAAGAACAAAAGTTTGACAATAAATAAATAGTATGCATGCGTGTGTGTGGCAAATACATGCGAAAATAAACATGTCATGTTTGTTTTGTTATCATGGACACAAACATTAGAATGAACCGTTTTCTTTTTAATTAGCCACATTTTTTTTGTTTATTATTATCTTATAAGGGTCTCATATATCTGGCCACATAAAGTTTAAAAAATTTCATTTTTTGTGAAATTATGAATTGAATTTGTTGATTTTGTGTGTAGCCTAACAGAGAACACACCCGGGGTACTCGTGTCAAGCGCTGCAATCATGCGTTAAATCCCGCACATCAAATTTTAAAATAAAATACGAGATTGACACGTGTACACTAACGACTTTCATTTTAAAGGAATCTATACCAATATTATAAAGAGGAAAGATTTGTTTGTTTGTTTGTATTGAATAGTCTCTCCGAAACTACTGAACCGATTTTAAAAAATCCTTCACTGTTGGAAAGCTACGCTATCCCCGGGTGACATAGGCTATATTTATTATATTTTCAAAAAAATTAAGAATCCTTATACTCCAATAATGTAACCCAATGTGTAAAAAAATACCTAAAATTCTTTACATCGCGTGCGCTACTTCCCAAGCGAAGCCGGGGCGGGCCGCTAGTAAATAATAAACTTAAAACCCGATCACATTACAATATGTCTGATGTGCACCAGTCTAAAAAACTTCAAGTAGCTTAAACGCATACTCGTTCTAATGCAGTGGTGTAAGTTCGACGACGACGTGGTGTCACGTTGCACTAAGCAGGAAGCCATCGAATACAACTACGGCGGGAAGGAAGACGCCCCTCACATGGCCAGGAAAGCCACCAGCGCTTACATGCTTATCTACATTCAGTTAGCACCGACTTATCTTTAACTTTTAACAAAATTGAATTAAATGTTGTGATGTTTTTTTTAGTTAGTCAAATTTAGAATGTAATATATTTTTTTTTATTGCTTAGATGGCTGGACGAGCTTACAGCCCTGGTGTTCAGTGGTTACTGGAGCCCATATACATCTACGATGTAAATGCGCCACCCACCTTGAGATATAAGTTCTAAGGTCTCAGTATAGCAACAACGGCTGCCCCGCCCTTCAAACCGAAACGCATTACTGCTTCACGGCAGAAATAGGCAGGGTGGTGGTACCTACCCGCGCGAACTCTCAAGAGGTCCTGCCACAAGTAAAAAATAATTTGTATAGAAATTAAACTATAGTTTTGATTGTATCTATAAAAAACGTAAGTCAATAATAATTAGTTGTGATTAGGCTAGTATTAGGTACTACATATTATTATCTACTAGTAACATGGTATTTGTAAGTAAATACTTTTTTCATAGATTAATACTTTTTCTTTTGCTCATTTTAATTTCAGAACTACACAACTGAAATACGTTTTACAAGACGCGTCCGAATCCGACATACCACCTGATCTCTGTGATCGAATCAACGAAGAAATGCGATACGAGATGGTAAGAACATGTAAATATCTTTATTATAACAAAAAAAAAAAATGTGTAATAATTTGTTTTTTTTTTTGAATTTTTTTAATGGTCACACTTTTTCAGGCGGCGGAAAAATAAAGTGCAAGAAATTTAAATCGGACACGTCTGTGTCGTCCGCAAAACGCTACATCAAGATATTTAGCGCATTAAAACATTTCTTCACTTTACAGGCGGTTGGCGGATCTAAATACAAAGGAAGATAATAAATACTAACAAATAAGACGCGTTCTGTGTTTCATGTGTAATTTTTGTTGGTGTAATGTATTTTTGATGAGCCGTTAGCATTAAAATTTGTCAAGTAGATTAATAGTTAAGGTTTTGTAACAGAATTTTGGGTTTGTAGGTATATATTTATTTTACTGTAATAATTTATTTTAAACAATAAAATTTTTGGCGAAACGTATTCACGATTTTTAATCGAAACTGTTGCTTTTTGATTTGTCAATCTAAAAAAGAAAGAAACTCAATAAAAAATACAACAAAAAAACATTATTTACTTTTATTAAAATAGCTGAAGTATGTAGCTTTTTTATTATATTTTTTTCAAATGTTATACTTTAAAGGACGCTCCTTTATGTCCTATACATATATCGTTTAGTTTAGAACAAAAATGGTTCCGCATATTATAATAGCTAATTATTATTCTGAATATTTATTTCGGGCAGTATTAGTCGATGCGCGTCCTTTTACCTTTCCATCTCAATTGAATGAATGAATAGAACGTTACATTTTCCCGCGATAAAGAACTCACTCTTCGGTCCATAAATTACCAGGCGATTTGTAGCCCCGCTGATACGTAAACTCCCGAAACAGCGAGAAAGCACTGTCGTGTCTACAATAGTAGATATCGGCGGATATATCTGTTACAATAATAAATACTATGGTATTAATACCTTTGAGTACCAACTCGCAATGCGGTCTCGCTTCCAGTAAAACTTTAAGAAAGATTACACATTATTATTATAAGATATATTGTCTTGTTACAATCACTGGTTTAAAGTTCCGAGTTAAAATGGCTGCGGTCTTGAGCAATTAAATTTATATTCAATGTTCAATGCGACAAAAACTGGCGGACGCACCAAGTTCTCTGTCTTATGAAATAATCTATTTTTAATTTGTACTACATTGAGTGTTGTTTAAAAATCGTTAGGTAGAAATAATTTTTCGAATCCAAATTCTTAACCAGTGTAACATCAGGTTTTACTCGGTCAAGCCATCAACGTTACCTGGTCTTCGTTTCCAAGTAGTAGGCAGCGGCTTGGCTCTGCTCCTGGCATTGCTGAAGTCTATGGGCGACGGTAACCACTTACCATCAGGTGGGCCGTACGCTCGTCTGCCTACAAAGGCAATAAAAATAAAAAAAACAATTCCCATACAATTTATTATTTATAAGTATTTTTCAAATCGATATCATAGAAATCAACAAAGAGTCTTCGAAGTGCTTAATGTCCAAAATATTTTATAAATATTACATAAAGCTATTGTAACGTGATCGATGAAGATATTACAATAACATTAGTCCACCAATTAATTACGTAATTACTCGTCGAGTGCTCTCGAATTCATGCTCAACTTTCCAGCTCAATAAAAGTGAATTACAGTCAAGCAAAGCACGCGACGAACGATCCAAATATTCGAAACCAGCCCATTACCTTTAAACGACACCCGCTCAATTATTAATCTACACAAATGAACGTCATATTTCTTTTTTTTTTATCCGGCCAAAGCCGTTTAGTTATTTTGTTAAAAAATAACCTCGCTTTATCCCTGGGCTATAAATCTCGAGTGGACGGCCCATGTATTAATGTCCGCTCACTGAATACGCACAGTATTGTGTTGATAAGCCATTGTTTACGTTTACACAACAAACGTTTTGAACTCGTGAGTATGTTTTTAATATAATTCAGGTGGAAATTTATTAAGTTTTAAATTTATATTAAACAAAAAAAAACAAGCAGGAAACGCGGTTAATACTCCTATTAGTGGACTTATCAATCATATGTATATTCGATGCTTTATATCCATCGTACCGATACCGTATGTAAAAGATGCAGTTTTGTAGCTTGGTAAAACACGTCAAACTATAAAAATTTTTTGTTTGTCCGTCGCTTTTTGTATTGTTTTATCTTTAAATAAGGAAGTTCGTTCCAAAAATATTTTAAATATAAGGCAAAAATACCGAAGGAACCCTGTTGTTAAACCTACATTAAAATTGGATGAATAATGTCCACTACCATTTCCATACAACTCCTAGTCACGTGCATCTTCTCTACGCATCACATGTCCATACCACGCTAACCGTCCGCTCTTTAATTTGTCAATCACCTGGGCTACTTTCACACTTCCTCTATAATACTCCATATCTTGTCCATTCTTGTCACTCCACAAATCCATCTCAACATTCGCATCTCTGCCACATGCATTCCTCTCTTATGCTTTACTTTCGTCGCCCAACATTCAGATCCATACAGCACGACAGATATAATGATCGTTTTGTAAATTTTTCCCTTGAGCTTAAGGGGCATTCTACGATCGCAAAATGTTACATAAACCTGTCGCCATTTCACGCAACCGGGTTTGTTCGGCCCGCTACGTCACTGTCTATGTTGCCATCGTTCTGGAGTATAGAGCCGAAGTACAGACTGGCAGGGACACCATATGAGGCGATTGGCGTGAAATCAAAAAAAATTCTCTGAGGAATTGTTCGAGATGATACCGGCATCTTGCTTTTACCATCGCACCGCCCGCCACCGGAGTGGAGTTCATCCATACTACCTGGAGCCACTGCGGTCATCCACAGTGCGTTTCCAAAGATCTTTTTTGCCACGTACCACCCGGCTATGGAATGAGCTCCCCTCCACGGTGTTTCCCGAGCGCTATGACATGTCCTTCTTCAAACGAGGCTTGTGGAGAGTATTAAGCGGTAGGCAGCGGCTTAGCTCTGCCCCTGGCATTGCTGAAGTCAGGTGGGCCGTATGCTCGTCTGCCTACAAGGGCAATAAAAATTTTTTTTTTGCCAAAATAAACATGTGCTCGGTTTTTGTTTGACTGATCTTCTATTCCAACAAAGTTTTCCAACCTTTCCATTTTGCCAGTCTCGTCTGTACTGTACCTCAGGCCCATCTTCTCCAAAGAGAACAATGTCGTCGGCGAACATTTGCGGCGAACGTTTCCATTTCATGTCTTGCAAACATTCCATATTTATCCTTCGTTTCTTACTTACATCAGCTTTTTCTCTTGCCCTTCCAGTCATCGTCTCTACATTCCAACTAGCATACCTCATTCTTACTTCACGAACTCTCTTCTTACGTCGTACCCGTCCCTGATGCGACAACCCTAGCCCGTTTCCCACAGATACTGGGTGCTGCACGTGCGCGACCTTCGTGGTACGCCCCAGTACTATCGCTTTCATCATATTTTATGGTCTCTTATTCATCGCTGTGATGCCTGCCTTAACGTCAACTGTCGTTGGAAATGATTTTGTTGGTAGATTACCCGCTACCAGTCGGGTAAGGCGCTAGATTTTTGCGCTTAAATGTCCGTCACCTTTTATGACACACCTGGGAAGATAAGGGGGCGAAACTATTCTTAGCCGGATCCGCACGCATAAGTGACAATAATTGACCAATATAATATTTGTCTATTTTTTGTGTTGTTAGCGTTAATTATGTGCGGAAAATGTATCGAGCGTCGGAATACTACTAAAAATAATCCGGGAAAAAGACAATAAAACAGAATACTGAAGTTCAGACTGGCACTAAATCTCTAGATCCCAGCTAATGAATCCAGAAGCTGCGCTATTAATTAGGAGAGGTTTTTCTTTGTCAGGACGAGGATCAGTCGCACGAGATTCTATGTGCTTAACTGCTACTTTTTATTATTACTTTACGATACTATAAATTTTGTTGGCACTTTTTTATTTCTGAGTAATATACTGTTGTAAAGTAATTGTAATCTAGAGCCAGTAACTTATGAAAATATTATTTATTGTCTATAAATCTTCGCAAAATACTGCTAGTTCGACTAGCACAGTTAATTTAGGGTATTCAGATGTTATTTCTTGGGCCCGTGGCTGGCTCCAAGCAATAGACCGTTAAGTCCCACATACCACGTGTAATCCCTGGGTTAGATATTTATTTGATAACGTGTCACCAGAACAACACTGACATTGGAATTTCTTCTTCTTTGTCGTTTCCTCATTACTGAGGGTCGTGACCACCTTGGTACAGTTTTTGCACCAGCATCCTCCAATGTTGCCTGCATTCGGCCTGCTTAATTGCGCCCGGGACGCTGGTGTTTGTGGCCTCCTTGATAATGTCCGTCCACCAGGTTGGCAATCTTCCTCGACTTCTCTTTCCTTCCACGTAACCTTTTTTTAATTTAGATTTAACGAAATTTCAGATTTGAATTTTATATTTTTTTCATAATTTGTTCGATGTACGGTTTAGACAGAAACCCATTTTTATTTTTATATGATTTGATATACGAAATTTAACTGGGTAATCCATTTATTCCATCCATTTCAATGTTACCTGTATCATCAATGAAACTAATAAAACATTCGCATTACAATTTTTGTAAATACAATTTGAGAATACTCTGTATACCGTAAAAAAAAGGTTTTATGTTTGAAAAATATTTATTAAAATGTAAATTTACACTTATGGAGAGATAAACTACGTTAGAAGTATCCTATACGTGAACGAGTCACTCAAAGTTAGTCTGACACTCTCGCGAGCACTTTCTCATAGTTTCAAAGTTATTTTGGTTGCCGCCGCAGCCTCCGTACGTGAATTCTTTACATGTTGCTTCGTTAACATCATAGTAATATCTTAAAAGAGTTAAAAACTATATTAATTTTACGTTACAAATATTATGGTAGGTTTTTATAACCATTTGTCCAAAAATAGAATCTGACTAAAACTTAAAATTTTTAATTATTTACAAGTAAGTCTCGTCTTAAAACAAAAAAAAAACGTTTTTTTAATCTCTCCTTCTGCCTTTTGTGTACATTATGTGAAACGTCATGTTTGTAGCAGAAAAAAGCTGTTTAGCCAAATTATTATTAGATATGAAGTCTTTTTTTAGTGGCTTCATTTTTTATCTGACGCTGGCCAGGTCTTTGTATTGTGGTAACCTCACGACCAATTTATTTTTATTTATTTATGTACACACAAAAAAGAAGACATAGTACAGAGTAATAGGAAAATTATGTACAAAGGCACTGCTTATTTCTTTAAGAAATCTCTTCCAGCAGATCTGCGAGAGGAATAAGAGAATAATAATCAAAAGTGATGAGTGTGTGTAGAACAGCTAAAATAAAAAATACAATATGAGGATTATAGTAATGCACATACACATAGCAAATATTGTTAAACTTGAATACAAAATATTATAAGTAACACAGTATTATACGAAGAGTATAGAACAATGATCATTCGGTTGATGAGAGATAGAATTGTTTGACCTTGTATTTTAAAACAGAAACAGACTTGCAAACTCGGATGTCAGCCGGCAACGAATTCCACAGTCTGACCGCGTGCACAGTGAAGGAGTGAGAATAGAAATTTATCTCAATTGGTTACAAAAAAAACTCACACCACGACGTCTATTGGCTAATCCGGAACCACTTAAAACCTAGTAGGCCTCACGCCTCACATGGAGTGCAATAAATCAAAATTAATAAACCATAGTAGATAATGAGCGTCATATTTCTTATTTCCGCTACGACACGGGCCCGTTCAATGCGACATCTCAATATATTCTGACTTTGACATCAGCTACTTTTTACTTCCGGAACATCGATTAGTTATAACTCACCTCCGTAGCAGCCCCAAGCAATATCCAGCGTTTACTTGTAGAGAACAATATGTGATCGGAGCACTTTCTCTGATCATCATCAAAGATGCTCCTGTAACATAATTACTATATTTTTTTCGCCTTCCTGGAGCTTATAAAAGTTAAGCAAACACTAGGTAACATTTTTAAGTCGTCGTGGCCTAAAGGATAAGACGTCCGGTGCATTCGTATGTAGCGATGCACCGGTGTTCGAATCCCGCAGGCGGGTACCAATTTTTCTAATGAAATACGTACTCAACAAATGTTCACGATTGACTTCCACGGTGAAGGAATAACATTGTATAATAAAAATCAAACCCGCAAAAATTTTAATTTGCGTAATCACTGGTGGTAGGACCTATTGGGAGTCCGCACGGGCAGGTACCACCACCCTGCCTATTTCCGCCGTGAAGCAGTAATGCGTTTCGGTTCGAAGGGTGGGGGTAGCCGTTGTAACTATACTGAGACCTTAGAACGAGGTGGGTGGCGCATTTACGTTGTAGATGTCTATGGGCTCCAGCAACCACTTAACACCAGGTGGGCTGTGAGTTCGTCCATCCACCTAAGCAATAATATATATATATATACATATATTTACAAACCAGAATCAACTGTCACATGATAGACTTACGTTCGTAATTGTCGAGGCCAGTGTTAGTATGAGCCCCGAGAAAACTTCACAGTATTAACATTAGTTACAGCGTACCCAGATCGGTTTCACTAATTTTCAAATTTCAATATACGAACCTTTACATCGCCCCTCGCACTCTGCTTGCGTATGAAATTTATTTAAATTACCCTGACATCCAGTGTATTCGAACGTTAAACACTGATCTAAATCCGCGTTATAATAATATCTGCAAGAAAGCAAAGTGTGTAGGTATCATTAGTTTCAGAATTTAAAATCAATTCCGGATCATAAAATAATACGCTCACTTCAGTACATTCTCAGTACAATTTCCTTTTTTGGGCTGTAATTGACACCAAATATCCCAATCCCACAGAGTCGGACCACCTAAAATTTTAACTTTGATTTTACGTCTATATAGCCATCATCAAGTCTGTCTAGGTATGATTAAGTATTACCAACTTCTTCTCGCGTTATGAATTATATTTTTGCTGTGAATCGTGTTATTGCGCTCATTATAAATCCTTCGATAGATCACCGTTGGCTTAGCAGATGTACTGGCACGTATTGTTGCAGTAGTTAATGTTGTTTCGCTACCTCCGTTACTGGGCAATGAAATAAACATTGAGACTAATAGCATAAACAATTTTAGCATTTCAAATTTTCTCGTAAAGCCCTCAACGAACAACACTGACCGCGAATATAATAAAAATTTACAATATAAACTTTACAACACCATAAAAGTTACGACCATTCAAATTCAAGAATTTACGTTTCGCTCAACGTTATTCCTAGTGCTTTATGAAAAATTCGATGTGATAAAATTTTACAGGATTTTATTTCAAAGAGCTATCAACTCGTTTGAAAACAGTTTATATGTGAGAAAAGAAAATTCTGTCTACTCTCATAACAAAAGTTTGAGAAAAAAGTATTTGCTCAGATGTATAAGTAACGGTAATTCCGATTTGCATCTAAATTTCTAATCTTGCTCATATGCGAGATATATGCATACGCGTGCCGAAAGATCGAATGGATGGAATGTTCTAGTGCTGAACTGTGCTCCAATGCCCGAATCGGATTAATGCTAACGACGCAGCATTCTACACGGACACTGCAGATAGCCGCATTCTCGCTCTGTATACCGCACAGACAGTTAACAGAGACGGAACTGTTTATTATTTACAAAATAATATTTATGTCTTATTATAGATTTTCCTGTTTTTTTTATTGCCCGTGTAGGCAGATGAGCATAAGGCCGACCTGATGGTCGTCACCCGTGGACGCCAGCAATGGCAGGGGCAGAGCCAAGCCGCTGCCTTAGTCTTAAATGCCACTTAATTTGAAAGTATAGATAATTCTAATATTATAAAGAGGAAAGATTTGTTTGTTTGTTTGTTTAATTATTGAACTACTCCCAAACTACTGAACCGATTTGAAAAATTCTTTCACTGTTTGGAAGCTACACTATTCCCGAGTAACATAGGCTATAATATTTTTGAAAAAAAAAGGGATCCACACTAAAACTCCAATATGTAACCCAAGGTGTAAAAAAAAGCTAAAATATTCTTTACATCGCGTGCCCTGCGAAAACTATTGGTGATAGAATAAAATAATGTACCACGACTTTGTAGAACACATTATTATTTACAAAAAGTGTCGCGACAGCATATGTCTAACTATTATAGTTATGACGCAATAAGTGTTATTTAATTTAAAAATATAAAACAACGTCAAATATCGTTGAAATTTTTGTTAAAGACGCGAGCGGAGCCAGAGCGGGCTGCTTGTGATGATATATAAGTAAAAACTAAACGATGGAAAACTATCAACGTACAAAATTTCCATCCCCGAGAGACATCTAATGAGAAACGTTATTCCGAGGAAGGGAATAATAGCTCTTTACAAAGCTTTTTAAATGTACAATTCCAAGCTGCAGCATTAATTACTAGTTTTTTTTTTATTTATTCCGTCTAGCCGCTCGTCGAGCGACAGAAGCCGGAGATTATAAGGATTCTGCCGAGCTCGATAAATAATTAATTGACATCGTGGTTATGCCCGCTAAGCCAATTGCATTTTAATTGGTAAACGACGGAAAAACAGTAAACCTCGTTGTCGACGAACGAAACAAAACTTAATTATCCGTCCGCATTCTCTTTGAGAACAGACGTTAAATGTAAGCAATAAGTAAAATAAAAGCGAAATATCTTGGCAGCATAAAAATTCAATCATTTCAAAAGCTTCCAAGATTTGTAGGCTGGGGGAATGAAATTACGCCATTGTTTCGATGACGAATGAACTTGGCGTATGAATTTACATATTATTATTACCCATTATATATNACTTAATTATCCGTCCGCATTCTCTTTGAGAACAGACGTTAAATGTAAGCAATAAGTAAAATAAAAGCGAAATATCTTGGCAGCATAAAAATTCAATCATTTCAAAAGCTTCCAAGATTTGTAGGCTGGGGGAATGAAATTACGCCATTGTTTCGATGACGAATGAACTTGGCGTATGAATTTACATATTATTATTACCCATTATATATTTTTATGGTAAATCTTAATTTTTTCTTCCTTTTACTTTTGGTGTTATTTCGTCTTAAGGTGGAATTAATTTTATTAAGAATTAGCATGTTTAAGAGTAATAATGATCATAAAAAGACATTAAACAACATTTTAATGGGGCTAGGCGCATTTTTATTGCCCTTGTGGGCAGCCGAGCCTACGGCTCACCCTATGGTGAGTGCTTACCGTCGCTAACGGGCACAGCCAAGCATTTAAAACTAGACTTATATTGGATGGCGGTTTTCATTTTATTTTAACACGTTTTTATTAGCTTAGTCTGTAGATATCTACGTCTATCTACGGAATATTTAAACGTGATTTTCACCCATCTTAAAGTGTCGGATTGAATTGAATTTTCACACACTTATCAAAGACCGATAATAATACAGTAAATTATTATTATTATTATTATAAAATTACTATTACTTAAATATAATAATTATTATTATTATTATATGTAAAACTATACATACAATTGATCAATTATCTTAATCAGTAATGTATTGATTATTGAAACGCGGGAGTGTCTTGCATCACGTACTAAGACAAACCCTCTTGCCTTCCTTGCATAAGATAAACATTTTTCAGCCTAAGTCCGGGACCAAAGCCTAATTCCACCATAGAATTTCTAAAATATTTTTTATTTATTTTTTAGATAGGTGGACGAGTTCATAACCCACCTGGTGTTAAGTGGTTACTGGAGCCTATAGACCTCTACAACGTAAATGCGCCACCCACCTTGAGATATAAGTTCTAAGGTCTCAGTATAGTTACAACGGCTGCCCTACACTTCAAACTGAAACGTATAACTGCTTCACGGCAGAAATAGGCGGGGTGATGGTACCTACCCGTGCGGACTTACAAGAGGTCTTACCACCAGTAATTACGCAAATTATAATTTTGCGGGTTTGATTTTTATTACACGATGTTATTCCTTCACCGTGGAAGTCAATGGTGAACATTTGTTAAGTACGTATTTCATTAGAAAAATTGGTACCCGCCTGCGGGATTCAAACACTGTTGCATCTCTAGATACGAATGCATCGGACGTCTTATCCTTTAGGGCACGACGACTACAATAAATGGTATCATGGTGAATTTAGGAGTCTGCTTACAAACATGTTTCTTTTAAATACCTTTTTAAGTAGACTGCCCATCTGATCACCGTTATTTGTGGAGGTCAGAGGTGACAAGTCGACAATTTCGACGGTAACCACTCACCATCAGGTGGGCCGTATGCTAGTCTGCATACAAGGGCAATAAAAAAAAAAAAAACGCACACACACAGGAATTACTTGGTACAACCAAGCTGCTACTTACCCCTGAGTACTTTTTTTATGAAAGAAGAATTACTAGTGATCTGGAGGCCTTTCCAGTATCACCAGGACTGGTACACAGACTAACGTGTGAGTTATGTTGCACGTCGAACTTTTTGCAGAATTCGAGCAGAACGGTTACCAGAGTTCCTAAGCCTGCTCCTAGTGTTTGAGCTAAAGGTATCTAATTCAAGTTATTGGATCGGATCTGTAAAGACGTGTCTAGGGCGCCGAGGGTGACTGGCTTTTGCGTGAGCAGAAGTCAAGGAGTAGTTAGTGGCGGCAACGATAAGGCGATTATCATGACGCATAGGCTTACCGAAGTAGCGTTAAGAACTATCCTCTAGCATCGTTTGAAGGACATGACAGGAAGGACAGGCTTCCCGTGGAGAGCAGTTCATTCCGAAGCTACTGTGGCACTGAGTTCTAAGAAAGATAAAAATTCTAAAAAGCGATGTTAAAAAGGAGATGGCAGATCATCTTAAGTAATTCCTCACAGCATAGAGCATTCAATACATGTTTGTAACAATTAATTTAAAACAAGCCTTCATTAATAGTGAACATTAATATAATAGTATAGCTGTAATAGTATGTACATATAGTAATAGTAAATATTGTATTAAAAGTTAATATTTTACTCACACACCTTTAATATGTCGGACAGAAATAATAAGACTGCCGTATAGAACATTGCATATTAATATGAATATTTTGAAATTCCCTTGTCAAAAAACAATATTGAAATGTAGCCTAGGCTGCAAGATTATTTTAATAAATTACACCCTGATAAGTATTAAAACTATGTAACACACTTTCAGGACATGAAAGAGAAGTACGAAATTGAGCCAACCATATAAAAACTTTTTTCATCAGCCTCAAAACGAGACGATAATGGACATAGAGTTTCGTACAATATCATATTATTGATGGCTGAAACTGGACAAACTACATACACATAGGGGAAGATTTAATTTTACAAGCAGCTTGTATGTTATAACATCAAGAAAAACTATGTGAACAATAATTCTGTCGGTATAAATACGTCTTTCAATATTAGTTTTTTGAAGTCTTTATATATTTTGAAGTCGTCGTGGCCTAAAAGATAAGACGTCCGGTGCATTCGTATCGAGCGATGCACCGGTATTCGAATCCCGCTGGCGAGTACCAATTTTTCTAATGAAATACGTACTCAGCTTTTTTTTTCCTACCTAAGCTGATAGCCTTGAGAGGCTATTTCAGCGTAACCGTGGCTAGTAGGTGAGCTCACGGGGCTCAAACCTGATGACGTTGCTAACACGAACCCTAGCAAGAGCCGTGCTTCGCAGAATCTACCACCGGATCGGAAACGCGACCCACTGAGAAGATCCGTCGAGAAACTCAGTGGGCTGTGTCTGGGAGTTAATTTACTCGTCGAGCCCTTCGTCGCAAGCGACGGGTTCGACGAGAACGGTGACCGGTGCTTGAAGTACTTAGAAGCACCGTTAGTGGATCGGGAGGATCCGAGATGACGTGTTTTGGGCGACGTCGACTGCTTTCCATTCTGTCCGCAGGATCGGGAATGTAGTTACCGGCAGCCACGATGAGAGGGTTCTCGTGTCGTGCCGCTTTATCGAAGTGGAAGTACTCAGCAAATGTTCACGATTGACTTTCACGGTGAAGGAATAACATCGTGCAATAAAAATCAAACCCGCAACATTATAATTTGCGTAATTACTGGTGGTAGGACCTCTTGTGAGTTCGCACGGGTAGGTACCACCGCCCTGCCTATTTCTGCCATGAAGCAGTAATGCGTTTCGGTTT